CTAGTTACGTATTGCTCACACACGTTTTTTGTCCTAGATTTTTTTGTCTCTTCTCCTCTCTCACTTCTCCGCTTTCACTGTCCTCTTGCCAGCTTGTCTCTCTCATCCTTTTAGAAATTTCTTTCTTTTTCACTACCTCTTGTTGTAGCTGTATTTTTTCACTTTCGAACTTCCTTGTGCTTCATCACTCGTATTAGACTCATCACTACTCAACTCAAGGTTTTCAAGAACTTCGTCCAATACTATCTTTTCTTTACTCTTCCATGTAGAGTTCTTAAGCGATAATTCACTTTCCATGGGGCAATGTTGACATCCCACAACACCCAGCCAGGAGTGATGGGACCCCGAGCAGTTATTTTCGTGTGGTAAACAGTAAGTTCCCAACACCAAAGTTGCTTGACGATAGTTATCTTATCCTCAGGTCCTTATACACAAGTAGGTAAGTCTATATATCCTTCAGATAATGTAATAGGCTCGAAAACATCCCAAATTTGGGAGCTAGCACTCACAGCTGTGTTTACCAGTGCCCGCCACCCAACGACTGTTCGGAAGGTGATTGTTGCCCAGTGATGTGAGAGATATCTGAAATTATGCGGCCGCCTTACTTTGGTAATAAAGTGTACACAATGTTACTGTGCTGCTTACTAATGGTATGTTTACATGGTATATATAAGATATAAATTGTGTTAATGTAAATGTGCTATTTAGCAAGGTCTTACACCTCTGATTATTGTTGAATGTTTTATTATAAAGGTGGAGTAAAAATTACTCGCTATGTTTTAAAAAGACGAGTAGAAATATATTGGGGTTGAGATTGTCACAGTGTTTCAGACAAAACCTTAATGAGGAAATTTTATGATTTAGCAAGCTGTAATTTATGTTGAGATTTATATTAAACCAACGTATAGCCATATTTGTCTAACCTAGTTTCACCTAACCAAACCTAGCCTGACTTAACTTAACCTAATCTGGACATCATGAATATTAGGAACCTTTGTTTTTATCACCTAATGATTAAACACCCTAATTTAAATCTAACTGACTTAACCTGAACCCCTCCCATTTAGAGTTAGTGTTTAATCATCTCGTGAAATAAGCGAGAGTTACTAACCTAACGCAATGTAACGTAACTAAAACGTAACGTAGCTAATCTAATACATCCTAACCTAAACTAAACCAACCTAATATCTGAACCTAACCTAATCTATGTAACGTCTACAAAGTTGTCTATTTCAAGGAACATTTATGAACAAGAAAAAGGGAAGGGAATACCAGCTGCAGTCATTCACGCCAGTAAAATAATATTCTTCCCTTCTTTCAACATTCCCTAGATGAGACATTTTAAATAGCAGGTAGGCAGGGTAGCTATGTTGCGCAAGATGCTGGCTGGTGTAGTGAACGTGGGGTTTTTACCAACACAATGAGTATGTGAGGACGACAAAGATAATGAGTCAGATTAGGTAGGTTGGTTTGTGTAAGTCTGAGTTCATCTAATTACTTCTGACTCACATCCTCTATGTACCTTTTGACCAGCTGTGTTTTGTCTACAACCATAATACTCAGTTACACCCAAGGCCTCAACTACAGCAGACACTGACGGTGCTCTTTCTATATACGAGAGGCTGTTTAGTAAACTTAATAATATTCAGTTATTTTTTCCATGACTGTAGTGCTGTGTATCTATTAACTCTACAAGTTTAGACACCTTCCAAAAAACATCATGAGAGTACTACGCCGAGGAGAATTGTTTTTGTGGTTGGTGTTGTGTGGTGTTGAGTGGTCTATACAATCCATTAATAGCCTCTCCTTAAAGCCCGATGGAAGCAGCGCTACTACCTCGCCACTGTCTGCTGTAAATGGCACAAAGCTTCCCATCACCTACTCTTCAGAGTCATTGATGATGGGTAACCAAGAAGTGATGCAGAATTTTAAGGACGGGAGACGAGAGGATAACTGCAGAGTCGTCAACACTTCGGTATCTCGATTGGGTCTTCAGGAGGTTGAGGAAGTGAGATCGGAAGCTTTGATTTTCTTCATCCGCCCGAAGCCATCTTTCAGGAAGCTGGTGTTCAAGATAAAACTACAGAGTAGATTAGATATATCAGACAAATTCACAGATGAGGCCGTAGACCTTCACGCCACTGATCTGAAGCACTGTGACTCAGAGCCGTGGACCCGCGTTGAGGTGGAGTATTACGAGAAGTCTTCACGAGGACCTAACTCTCATGCACTCCGTGTGACTGTCGGGGAAACTACACTCTCACTCGTGACGAACTATTGGTGGGTGCTGTACAGGTATACTGGCTTTGTAATCTACGCCGAAGGAGAGGCACAGCTCCTCTTTAACTGCCTGCCTAAGAATCTTAAGGAGACTCTTCTCCATGAACTGTCGTTTGATGGAGTCTGGCTAATGGCTAGCCTCTTTATCACAGCGACTCTCTTGTTGCTGGTGCTCCTCGGCGTCTGGCTATCTGTAAGGTTTCATAGAAGGAACCAAACCGCACCACAACCTTCATCATCACCTGTAAGTAAAGATCTCGCCTCATTCACTACCTTACTTGGAGTTTCTTTCGGTACACATGATTTTCAGAGCCTCAAATTGGGATATTTTTATGCATGATTTCAATCTCAATATTGTAATTTCTATGGCAAATAAATCTGAGTTCAGCCAATAAGCATAAACAAAATTCCTCGATTTTAAACAGATTGATTTTCATGCTTTTTTCAGGTTTACGAAGAGTTCAACGAAGATGTTCTGGAGAATATCCGTCAGAAGGTCGAAGCTCTACGAAGTGCTAAGTCTCAGTGTGACTTAAGACAGGGAAGTGTCGTTCATTATCACCCGGGCAATGAAAATCCTTACGTGATGGAGGTGAGGTTACAGAAGGAGAGTGTGCAAAGAACAACGTTTGAGGAGGAAGTAGAGGTGGGCAGACATCTTTACCAGAACGTATATTCTGTGAGGCCAACACCAACTGCTAGGAACTTTGGGAAAACATCGAGTCCTGAGATCGAGTATCAAAACCTCTTACCTCTTGTGAACTCCCTCCAAGTCGATGGTTATTCTACTGACAAAGGTTCACCTGAAACAGCTGTCGCAGAGAGACCTTACCAGGACTTGTACTCTCTCATCAAATCCCAGGAAGAAGCAGTAAAAGAAAATCACACTGACTCAGCTGAAATACTAAAAGTAGAGGAAGGACAATCCCAGAAAATGTCGACATCTGTGACTTCTCAAGAAAAGGTCGCTGGTAGGGTCTCCACTGCGGAAAACAAAGAACTTCTTCAAAGATGCATTTCTATTTCCCTGGGGATTGAGGGACCGACATATTATCCTTCAGAAGATCATGAGGCCCATCAGCGACGAAGACACGACAGGGGCTTCTGATGCACTGAACATTGCAGAGGAATGGCTCTCCTCTCTTGTATTAATTTCTGTGTTGCTAATATTGAACAACTTTTGCGAATGACAGTCCAGGTGACTGTATGTTTGTGTGTGTGTGTGTGTGTCCGCACGAGAATCTCGGAAACTACTTTGCCGATCTGTAGTGATGATGGATGGTGTTATATGTAGTGATGATGGGTGTTGTTATATGTAGTGATGATGGATGGTGTTATAGTATAACATCATCATCCATCATCACTACATATAACACCATCCATCATCACTACATATAACATCATCACTACATATAACATCATCCATCATCACTACATATAACACCACATCCATCATCACTACATATAACATCATCATCCATCATCACTACATATAACACCATCCATCATCACTACATATAACAACACCCATCATCACTACATATAACATCATCCATCATCACTACATATAACACCACCCATCATCACTACATATAACACCATCCATCATCACTACAGATCGGTAGAGTAGTTTCCGAGATTCTCGTGCGGACACACACACACACAAACACACACACAAACACACAGACATACTACGTTGTGATAGTTCCTTACTGTTATGTTAATAAACTATTAACTAATAATAGAACCATTGGATATCAATAACATGTATAATCGTAAAATGAAAATACCATACCCTGATAACTGTAGTAAATACACACATACTCATTTTATTGTAATGTCAACAAAACTTTGTATTGTAAGCCTTTGATAACAAATATCACATATTAATTCTAATTATTTTTATATTTGTTTCATACCTCAATGAACTTTACACCTATATATTTAAAAACACCATGTTAGTGAAGATTTTGTTCCTCGATCATTAATTCTGATCTGTATTTTTAAGATCTGACACTTTAAGTCTTATACCACAATAATATCTTCATCTGTCTACTTTCTCCAACTTACATGTGTGAGAAACCAATAGTAAAACGATTTATTGAGTGCAGAAAATGCTCGGAAATATCCACCATGATAGAAATAATAATAATAATAATAATAATAATAATAATAATAATAATAATAATAATAATAATAATAATAATAATAATAATAATAATAATAATAATAATAATAATATTAATAATAATAATAATAATAATAATAATATAATAATAACAATAATAATAATAATAATAATAATAATAATAATAATAATAATAATAATAATAATAATAATAATAACAATAATAATAATAATGATAATAATAATAATAATAATAATAATAATAATAATAATAATAATAATAATAATAATAATAATAATAATAATAATAATAATAATAATAATAATAATAATAATAATAATAATAATAATAATAATGTTCATAAACTCATATTCTCGATACATTATACACTTAATGAATTGTGTATGTTTATACGTGCAAGTGAAAGTGGATGAATAAGTGTATCAGAAAGAGTTATCGTGCCCACATGTGTTGGGTAAGTGGGACGAACAAGACGCAACATCCGGTGGTTAGCCTCAGCCCTGAAGACCTGATGACTCGCTTTTTTCCATTTGATTTATGGATGGGATGACTTGGGATTTTAAAGTATAAATGTCATGTCTTTATCCATCAAATTTATATAGGGAACACGATTATATTACTTGAGAAACAAATGGGATAATGAGAGACTATCGAGAATCAATAGATACTTACAACATCGCAGTCCCAGAGATAACAAAATGAAGTGTGAGTGTGTTATTTAAGATAATTCTCCATAAAATCAACAGTATTACTTAAAAGAAAAACATTTGCAGGCAGGGGTGTGTCACTGAGGTAGCCTGAAATCGTTGTCGTTACCATTGCCGGATTCCAGACTCTGTGAGTCACCATCCTCCTCACGTCAACACACAGCCACACACACACACACACACACACACACACACACACACACACACACACACACACACACAAATTACTTTGCTCTCACTCGAAATAGAGTATGACGATCATCCAGCTATGATACAATGATATGAGTTTTTTGGGATGTCACCTTCATTGGTGAGTTCACAGATGTTGCACATGTGGAGGGCTACATCTAGTGCGGGAGAAGCGGCGGCAACGTCTTTCCGGCGTTGGCGCTTGTCTGCCTCGGTTTGCAGTCGGGCTAACTCGGAAGTATTGACACCTTCTTGTGTGGTGCTCCTCCAAGTGATACGATATGGAGTAATCGTCTCCCAGGTGAGGGGGGTCGATTTGGCACTTTTTCAAGTTTCTCTTATGACTATCCGTATACCTTTTCAGTTGCCCACTAGTGTTACATTTACTATTCGTTATGTGAGTGTAAAGTAGCTGCTTTGGCAGTCTACTGTCGTCCATGTGGGTAACATGGCCAATCCAGTATGTTGTTCATGGATAATGGTAGCCTCGACCCTCCTACAGTCGGTGTCAGCAAGATTAGTGGCATTTGTTCTCTTGCCTTCCCAGCAAACTCGGAAGATGGAACGTAGACTATGTTGGTGAAACTTTACAAGTGCCTTGAGGTACCTCTTGTATATGACCCATGTCTCCCTGCCAAATAGCAGGGTGATGAGGACCACTGCTTGATATAAGTGTAAATTTGTAGATAATTTCAGCTCCCTACAGCTGAATACACGGTTTCGTTGTCTGCCAATGGTTTGAGATGCATATTTGATTCAATGTTGAATCTCCTCATCGATGTCCGCGGTGGTGGACAGGTAGGAGCCGAGATACCGAAAGTGGGTAATATTAAGCTGGATGGATGGTGGAGGTGTGTCTGAACCAGAGACAAGTTGAAAGAGATTCTGAGTCTTACGTACATTCACCTCAAGGCCGAAGTGTGCAAACGCATCTGCATAGGTGTTCAGGATATCCTGTAGGTCACGCTTTGTGAGCGACAAGGGTGAGGTCGTCTGCATACTGAAGTTTACTAATGGAAGCTGCCGACACTTTTGTTCCTGCCTGGAGTCATCTTATGTTGAAAAGAACTTCATCCAGTACTCGATGTCCACCCCGCCGGCTAAATTGTCACCAGTACGAGTATAGAATGCAGCCAAGAAAATGGAAAAGAGTCGGAGCCAGTACATATTATTGTTTAACCCCCGTTTGGATGAGGAAGAACTCAGACCGGGTATCATTGTGCAGGACACTGCCGTTCATGCCATCGTAGAGTTGCCTTACAAGGGCGATAAATTTTGGTGGGCAGCCAAATCAAGTGAGCATCCTCCACAGGGATTCCCGGTTGACCCAGTCGAATGCCTTGGTTAGATGGATGAAAGCCATTTACAGGTTAGGATGCTGTTCTCTGCACTTTTCCTGTGTCTGGCGGGCAGCAAAAATTATGTCAGTGGTGACACATGATGGTCTAAAGCCACCTTGAGACTCTGGGAGGAAGTTTTCCGCCTTAAGAAGAAGTATGTTTAGGAAGACTTGGTCGATAATCTTGTCAGCTACGGACAGCAGAGAGTCCCGCTATAGGTCTCCCTTGATCTTATAAATATTGACGATGGAGGTTGTCTTTAAGAGCTTGGGGGATTTCCTCCATTTCCCATATATTCTCCAGGAGAGAGTGGAGACGGCTGGTTAGCAGAGGTCCTCCCGCTTTATACACCTCGGCTGGGATTCTATCAGGCACTGAGGCTTTGTTATATTTCATCTGTTTGATGGCAGTAGCTACCTCATCCAGGGATGTAGGATAGCTGAGGTGGGTCAGCTCTGGATGCTGAGGGACCTGCTGTGTAGTCAGGAAATCCACATCGGTGTTTCGGTTGAGAAGTGAATGGTAGTGCTTTTCCCAGTTTCCCAGTGCTGAAGGATGCCTTCATCAACTTTAATTAGGGAGGGTTTTTTTTGGGGGGGGGGCGGGATTAGCCCACCCGGGCACAGGTCTCTGACCCACATCGGGGCCTGGGACGAAAATGTATTAATAATAATAATGATAATAATAATAATAATAATTATAATTCATAGCACTGTAAATAAAATTTATGAAAAATATAAATAAAAAAATAAAAAAAATAGTATAATAATAATAATAATATTAATAATAATAACAAAGAACCATAAAGAAATACAAAATTGAAAAAGGACCAAAAGTAAGAAACGATATATGTATACTGTGTTGTCAGTAGTAAGAGACACAATTAAGTCCCTGTAATTGTGTGTAAACGAGGCACAAAGTCAGATCAGCAACCTGAGACTCGGTCACAATTTTCGTAATGCCACATGGCATCAGGGTCTACCATTAGACAACACATTATGCTTCCAATATCTTCCCAGGTGGTAGTACCTCCCTGTTTGGTAGCTGCCTGCTACCTACTGCCTACGTCAGATGACCGGGTGGGGGAGGGGGGGCTGCGCCACGAGTGATTGACCCACAAAATGTTTTAGTGGAATTAAAAAATTTGTGCATGTTGTGCTGATCTGCAAGTTTTTGTGTTTCACGTGCTTTATTTCTAAACCAGTCATTCTTTAGATTGCGAAGTTCCCACTGGGCCAGCGCTTTCTTTTTGTGGAAACTATCAACTTTGGTCCGAGACTGAGGGTTGTTCTGCCAGTCAGGTAAAGCAGCTTATTTATCACTGACGAGTACATTTATTGCTGGGTCATTTTCGTTAAACTAATCCTGGTGTATTCTTTCGATCTTGCTGAGGGTCTCTCTGCAGGTTTTTGTTATGACATTGTTGGGAATATCCCATCCGTCACTGGGATTTGGGTTGTTTGTTGCCGGGTTGCTTATCAGCCCATGCTCGAGTTGCTCTCTGAAAGCATGTGCTACAGCTGGGACCTCCAGAAGCTAAGTGGTAAAACCTCTCCTGGAGGCTTGCTGCCTTCACCGTTTTGGGGCGACCTGAAGTGAAAGCATCTCTGACAAGCCGATGATCAGTGTCACAGTGATCTGAGCCACGCATGGTTCGGGTGATGAGGACATCTCAGCGATCTCTTTCTCTGACAATGGTGTATTCAATGAGATGTCAGTGTTTGTATCGTGCATGTTACCACGAACCCTTGAACTCGTCGGCCTGCCTAAACAAGGTATTAGTGATAGTGAGGTTGTGTGCAGGACACTTGCTGAGGAGGAGTAGGCCGTTGGGATTACACTTGCCTAGTCCATTTCTCCCTATGGTTTCCTGCCAAATGTCAGCATCTCTGTCAACTCT